GGAGGAGGAGGAGGAGGAGGAGGAGGAGGAGGAGGAGTGAAGTGTGCTACAAACAGGAAGACAGTAGAGGAAGGCTTCAGGAAGGAGGGTGTCTCCAGCTGTGCCAATGCTGCCCACACGTGCACGGGCTGGAGTCTGGAAGTCAGCCATCTTCGGTGATACTGGCAAGAGAGATTTGGTGGGCAGGTTGGGACGGGTCCTTGAAGGAAGAGGGTTCAAGAGGGACTAGATCTATGTCTTGGGGTACTGGACCTTTTTCATGTGATGTCCCCCCTCCCATGCCATTAATGCTATCATGCTTTAGTTCTGTTTTATCTGACATTAGTAGTGCTGCCATTTTGCTTTGGTTAATGTTTTAGCTTGCTCAGGCATCCATAACAAGGCTGAACAGAGTGGGTGGCTCTACAACAGCTATTCATATTTTCACCATTTTGGAGTTTAGAAGTCAGTCCACAGGGTTTCCGTCTCCTGTCTGTCCCTGAGCTGTAGATGACCATCTTCTCTGTGTCTCGAGTGGTCCTCTGTGTGTGTCCTAATTTCCTACTTTAATGAAGACTCCAGTCATGTGGGATTGGGGCACATTCTAAAAGCCTTATTTTAATTCCATCATTGACTCTTTGAAGACTCGTTTAATATGGCAGTTTGCTGTACCAGAAGTGGCACCTGAATGTGTCAGTTTTGAGAATACAGTTGAGCTCGGTTAGTTTACTACAGTACCCTCTGTTTCTCTTGTGTCTGCATGTCTGTGTGTGTCTTTCTGTTATCCATGGTTTTCTTTTGGCTGATGTTTTTCTTTCTTTTTATCATTTTACAACAAGAAATCATTGAATTTAGAAATATATTTATCAGGATTGGTTTGATGAAACTGATTGATCTCAGATGCAATTAGTTTCTTCCATTTTGTAAATTTTATATTTGTGCCCATTGTGACTCCTTCCTTTCTTCCCGTCTCCTCTTACTCCTTTCTCTTCTTCCTCCTTTTCTGTTTTTTTTTTCCCTAATTTCACTTGAATTGGGCAAGTCTTCAATAGGTTGCTTTAATGCTGGCTTAACATGGGTATCATAAAATTTAAACATATGTAGTATCAAGACTTTTTTTAAATTTTTTTTTTATTTTTTATTTTTTGGTTTTTCGAGACAGGGTTTCTCTGTGTAGCTTTGCGCCTTTCCTGGAACTCACTTGGTAGCCCAGGCTGGCCTCGAACTCACAGAGATCCGCCTGGCTCTGCCTCCCAAGTGCTGGGATTAAAGGTGTGCGCCACCACCGCCCGGCTATAGTATCAAGACTTTTTGAACAAAGCTTTCTAGAACGTGCTTTAATTCTCCCTGGAACACATTCCGTGTTATTGTTGCCTAGAGAGTTAGATGTTCATTAAAAATTAGTATTTTCTAATTGATTTTTAATTAAATTCCTCAGTATACCTTATCAATTTCTGTACCCTCTCCAGTTTTGCATAACTGTTCTTCACAGTCATGATGTTGTGGTAACAGACAGCTTGAGAAGGGGTGGCTTAGCATGCTGTGTTCCCTGTCAGCCGGGGCTCAGTTCCTGAGTTCTGAAGGTCCCCTAAAGCAGCAGTCCTGTTGGGAGCTGGTGGAGGGGCTGGAAGATAGGGCTGGGAGAATATTCTAGTTCTTTAAACTTGGGGGCCAGAAAATTAGATCTTGTTTCTGTCCATTTTCCTTTGACTAATATCACTTCAAGAGGGACAGGAGAATATCATTTCTTGTGGACAGGCTAGGGAGAGGTGGTGAATTGTAGACGCTCATGGACAGGATCATGGGATATGGTGGCTTGTGAAGGCTTTAGGTTGGTTTCTGTTACTTTCCTAATGGAGCATGTTCTTCAGTGATTGTTTCATTTAGCATGTGTGAGCAGCACACTCTCATTTTCCCACGTGTAAGAGCCGTTTTCTTACCCTCACACTTAGCGAGCTGTCTGAGTGTGTCTATGGTCTGAGACTGACCACGTCTTGCTAGACTCCCTTTGAAATGTTCTGCTGCCATCTTGGCTTGTGCTAAGATTCAGAGATCTCTGCCGCCTCACTGCCCCGGCTTTGCATGTCATTTCTTCCTTTTGGCGGCATTTAGACGTTGATTTCTGGACTGAGCATGGCATTAGTCTCCGCTATCTTCTCAAAGCTTGGTCGTGTACATTTAATGACAGGCCTGTGTCTGTCTTCAGTTCTGAAAGTCCCGAGCGTTGCTTGTTCAGTTCCATTGTGTTGGGGTGCCCATTAGATATGTGCCAGAGCCGCTCAGATTGCCTGTGTCTTCAACCCCGTCTAGAATTTATCCTGTTCATTTTTTCTATTTTCTCATATATATTATATACAAAATTACATATATTTCCAAGATTTCATTTAACTTTCATAAGCACCTTTTCTATTTCATCATTTATTTTATTTTTTTCTGGGTGCTCTTCTTTTATCTTCTTGGCCATTTTAACCATATTTTAAAGTATTTGCTCATCGTTTTATGACATCGATTTCATTTGGAACTAGCTTAATTAATTGATGTATTTTGATGGCTCTCTTAGCATTATCTTTCTTTGTTTTACGGTTTGCATTTATGAGCTCATGTGTGGAGAGACAATGTCCCCTCGCCCTCTTCCTTTGTGCTTCCATCTTCTTGTGCGGAGGTCGACCCCTTGTGTCGACTTAGGCTCCCACGCCCCAGCTATGAAAAGGTCAGATGGTCAGATGGTACTTGGGATGACACAGGGCATACAGCTCATTGGTCCACATAGAGGACCATTTTCTTCTCATCCTTCACTAGACGCTGTGTTCTAACACCCCGGCCCCCAGATGCTGAGACATTTACTCTTCAGCCTTCGAAGCCATTCCGGAGGCAGGGAGAGCTACCACAGCCTAGGCCCCAGGCAGTGAACTCCAGCTACTGTCATGGAGCTGTCTGTCTGTCATGGAACATGGAACATGGAACATGGAACATGCTTAGCCTCCATTGTGTCTGGTAGGAACAAGCTCCACAGCCAGCACCCGAGTCTGAAAGCCTGTGATGCTTGCTCCGTTTTCCCCTCATTATTACTCGGGGCTTTTGCTTCCTGCTTTGATTCTCCAAGAATGTCTGACTTGATTTTGAGCTGGAGACAGCTCTCTGGTCTGTTGTTACTTTTACTTATTTATTTTTAATATTGTTGCTGGGTTTTCTTTTTCATCTATTGTTTCTAATTGCTTGAAGGAGGAGGAGAAGATCATCTTTAGGTTGCGAACTCACTAAGCTGTCCTGTTGGGAGACCACTTGTCTCCACCCTCTCTGCTTTATCTAAGCACTATAAAAATGAAAGTCCATAGCTGCTAATGCAAGGAAACTCAGAACTGCAGGCAAGACTACGAGGCACATTTCAGAGTCACAAGAGTCAAATCCTACGCTGGATTCCTTAACAACACCTTCTTATCATGTCAAGCAGAGAATAACCACTGTGTCAAATGCTTTTGGCCAAGATTGCAAATACATAGGGAAATTCAGCAAAGGTCAAACATAATTGACATCCACATCTAGCTGGTCATGGGCTGTGATGCCTTTGCCCACATTCATAGGTTTCAGTCCTTGTCCTATGACTTCAGAATGTGACAAAATTTGGAGATAGAGTCTTTATAGTAATTAAGAAGAGGTCATGGGGTAGGCACTAATTCGTGTGCAACTTTATTGTTTTTAATTTAATTTTGTGTGGTGTTGGTGATTGATTCCCAGGGTCTTGCACATGCTAGGCTAGCACTCTACCACTGATCTACACTCCCAGCCCAGTGGGCTCAGGTTCAGTGCAACTGGTGTTCACAGGATAAGATGTGATTAGAACACAATCAGATGCAGAAGACAACCATGTGAAGACAGCTCCAATGGCCAGCTGCCAGCTCAGAAGAAAACAACCCTGCTGATCTCTAATTGGGGATTTCCAGTCTCAAGAACTGTAAGAAAATCAATTTCTATTATTTGAGCTAGCACTCTGTATTGTTGTGGCCACTCTAGCAAACTAATTCAACATGAGGCATCTTATCTGCATGTCCCTGGCACAATTCATTCTGTTTTAGCCTATCCATGATCCAAGGACCAAGGTCAGTTCTCCTGGGTCATCTGTACCCAAAAATCATGTTCATAGCCACTAAAACAAAACTTCACATTGCTTCTTTGCTGCCCACCACCAATCTTATTTCTAGTCATCTTGTTCAGATAGCAATGGCTCAGGGCAATCATGTTGAAAACATGCCTCGTCCCTGCTGGTGACAGTGTACTGATTAGTCTAGTCTGTGTTTCTTCCCTCAAGTTAGATAACGGGCACTTGAACTTGAGATTTGTTTATGATGAATTTACTCTCATATTCTAACCAACTTATGCATTATGAATGTGTTGGATTCTAAACAAGTGATCAAAATGTGTGATAATTCTGCTGGCTCCATAATCATAGTACACATTTGTTTTTACTCTAGCATTCTTTGGCTATTGCAGAAACTGCTGCTGCTGCTGCTGCTGCTGCTGCTGCTGTGTGTGTGTGTGTGTGTGTGTGTGTATGATAATACATACTAGATGTTCTTGTTCAATAAAGACATTATGAAAAGACATGACAAGACATTCACTGTTTTCTCTTTGTGTGTGAAGATTCCTAACATGTACAGGTCGTTTTAAGCTATGCTCAGTTGAGGTTCCCAGTCGTATCTACCAGGAACGGAATTTCTCTAAGAGCTACCCTATCTGCATGGTTTTACAGGGTCTTGGTGCTTCAAGCAAAGATACTTCTATTGTGAACACTTGGGGCTTCAAAAATATAATTTACCCTGAAATCCCTTCTGCATTTTAAACATTGTGTCTGAATTCTCAACGCAGTCAGAACGACTGTTTGGTAGACAAAATGTATCCCCAAACCATCAAGGGATTTTCCTAAGCAATTGGGATTACTCCAAAATACATTGCAGATTGGTATCAACTATCATATTTGAATTTGTATTCTAGCGCTGAGAGCAATTTGTAGCGCATTATAAAGCACAGCTCCTCCCTCACAATTTCAAAAGGCTCCTGTCTGTGACAAGCGCTAAATACGCCACCGTTGCTCCAGTAGCAGCAGTACAGAAGTGGCCTGGAGACTCCGCCCCGAAGTGAGTGACAGGAAGGAGTCTCTTCCTCATTTTAGGACTATAAGCCTTCAGTGTAGCCTCATCTCCTTCGACTGGGGGAAGATGGTGTGTGGACTGAGGATGGTAACTGCAACCTGAGAAGCAGCACAGTGTTTAAATGTTGTAGGGCTGTTTTCTTTCTGCAGCCACAGAAAGTTAACTTACTCCCACCACCCCCTGCAATAAAAAGAAAGCTCAGATTCAGAGTCCAAACCAAATCTACAGGAAAAAAATCTAAAGCGGTGAACTCTATGGCTGTGAATTGACCTTAATAATGGCTTTTATTATTTAGATTTAATAAAATTTCCAGTGATCTGCAGAACAGTGAGATCTCTAGTTAAGTAGGAGGTTGAGGTGGTTTTGAGCTGTGTTATATGAACGCCATCAGAGACAATAGAGCTCTTGATAGATATCCATTCTAAGACTCTCAGAAAAGCATTAACAATATATCACACTCCACTGCCAGCTGAAAACCCATAATATTATTCACAAATTATGTATTTAAGACTGGGGAGCCAGAGTCATTTTTGTAATGCTAATAGGAAGACATCCCTCCAGAGGTTCTGAGGAACCAACCTCTGCCTGCATTCTTCATGTTCACCTTACTGCTTGACCATGTGACTGAAGGAGGAGCTAGGAGATTTTGAAATTGTTGCCTGGCTTCATCAACCCACCTTCCTACAGTGCAATCTGCCCATGCTCAAAGGCTATGTTCAGAAGTGCTCTTCCTGGGCGATGATTCATAGGCTTTATCTAAGGATGTCTTCGTGACCATATTTTCAACTGTAAGTCAATTCATTCTAAGAAATGCGTTGCTTTGAATAATGGACTGATAATAAGACCAGAAAAAATTACAACCGAATGTCATGTAAATAACATGGGCATAGGGAATATTCCTTAAGATATTGTTTTATTCTTATTGTTTTGATTAAAAAATGATACAGAAGCTGTAGAATAGAAACACAAAGCAAATTTATAGCAGGTGTCTTTATAGGGCCCTACAACTTTTAAGTATCCCAGAGGAAGTAGAATTAATTTATGGTGAGATTGGAGTCTTTGATATCTTTATTAAGATTAACAAGAAAGAGGCATATGGTGGGGGAAATAACAGAAAGGTAGACATGTCTGACTAAATGGTATGAAGTCAGAGGATTAATTAAGACACACAAACGGTAATAATAGAAGTGTTCCAGCATCAGCAGCCAGTGATAGCTACTAACTGAAAGCCTAGGTGAAGGCATAGGGAGGCGAGGTTAGGACCAGGTCACCTCATGAGGAGTTGTGGCTTTCTCTGCGGGATAGTCAGTCACTAACTGGTTCCTCCATGTGATTGGCTTAGCGTGGGTCTTTCCATTCACTGGAATCTAGGTTGCTGAATGGGGCAGGAGGGATTAGGCCATCAGGCACAGCAAGAAAGAAGAGACCAAAAGGCCCTCTTTGGAGAAAGATCAAGGACGGAAATAATTAATTAAAGTTGGCTTTTAAAGTTTCTGTTAGGTAGAGACAACACAGAAAGTTGCAATCTTAGGAGAAGGCCAGAAATGCATTTTAACTCCAATCCTTTCTCCCCAGTCAACATGCATTTGAGCTTTTGACAAATGATAGAATTGATAAATCTGACTTGCACTTTCATCTCTTTACCCTGTCTGTCTAAGTAATGCAGTTTGAAAAGGAGAAAGACATAGGGCATCTATCAACTGCAAATCAATGCTTCAGCTCTCATCAATCCTCAGAGACAACGGACCGTTGTGGGCAGGGGCTTGGGAATCACACGGACCTGGGTACGAGAAGGCAGGCCTGTCTGCAGTTTCCTCACCTGTAAATTAGATAAGAAGAAATCTGTATGCACAGGGCCGTCAGGATGGCTCAGCAGGCAGAGGGGCTTGCCTGCAAGCCTGATGGCCTGTCCCACCCCTGGAGCCCACAGATGGACAGAGAGAACTGACGCCTGCAAGTTGTCCTCTGACCTCCATCTACACACGCTGGGGCAGGAGCACCCTCCTACCCACCCCAGGGGGTTAAGCAGCAGGCCCTGGGTGTTACAAAGGATTGTTATGCAGTTAACTGTCTTTAGACATTATAATATCGCCATTAATATTTTATTATTATTGATTAAACATGAAAATAAAATGGACTGGCAGGAATTATTTATGTTGGGAAAATTGGATACATTATTCTAAAATTCATTGCACATCTTTAAACACTTGAAGGAAAGCATTATTCTTCAATTAAAGATATGATAAATACTAATTTCAAAATAACATCCTCAGAGATATATATTCATATGGATAAGTATTTTACTTTATGTAATTTTCATATCCTAATGCAATGCAGATCAGAGTTAATATATAATGAAAATGTAGCTTGTGTGAATAACTTGCTCTCACTGTAGGAGCTGGCGAACAGGTAGGTGGGGGATGTTTGAGAAGCCTGCGGTGCTTGCAGCCACTGCAGCTGACGTGAGTTAACGGAACTGGCTCCTGTTCCACAGTGAGAACACTGCACAAGCCACCATGTTCTGGGGCTTCCTTGCCAGCTTGCCTTATGTTCGTCTGACTGGTTCCTCTTCATGACCATGCTGTGCCTGGCTAGGTCTTGAGCTTGAGGAAGGCCACCTGACTTTTGTTGTTCTACGCTGCCCTGGGCTTTAAGCAGACAGGATTTTAAAGATGAATGTTGGCCCTAATGTGATTCCTCCTCACAGAACAACCAGACACAAGGAAAGACAACTCTTCAGTTGGAACTTAGTGAATCAAACATTTTCCAAGCAGAAAATAATTAAGATTTCGGATCCCTTTGCTGCACAAAAGGAGAATAAGGACTTAAGAGAGTAGAGGGAAAAGTTTGTGCCAAACCTGTATTCATGTGGAAAACAGCTGGAAAAAAACCACAGACATACACACATGCTCACATACACACACATACAGACAGACACACACACACACACACATATACACACACTAGCACACACACATACACATATACAGACACACTAACACACACATACACACACACATACACACAGACATACACATGTACACATACATGTACACACTAGCACACACACAGAGATACAGACAGATGAACATACACACTCACACACACATGCATACACACAGAGGCACAGACACACATGTACACAAAGAGACACACACAGGGTTACAAGACAGATAGACATACACATACACACACAGATATATACAGACAGACAGACACACACACATATACACACATAGCACACACAGAGATACAGACAGATGAACATGCATACTCTCACACACATGCATACACACAGACACAGACACACATGTACATACAGAGACACACATAGGGACACAAGACAGACGCACACACACACTTATACACACATACCCACAGATACACACACATAGAGACACACATGCACACACAGTCAGACACATACAGACAGTCACAAACAGAGAGACACACAAACAGGTACACACACATACACATTGACACACTGACAGACAAACAGACACACACAGAGACATATACACACTGACTCATTGACAACACAGATCAGACAGACAGACTGACACACACAATACACACACACACACATGAACATGCACATGTGTGCAGAAATGAGCAGCAGAAGGACCAATGTTCTGGGGACAAAGAGAAGCTGTGTTGACGGGCTGGCCACTTTTATTGTCTTTTATTTTTCTGGAGATTTTCTTGTCAGGCCAACACTGAATATGCTGGTTGGCTCAAGCAGGAAGTTCTTACTGGAATTTTAAAAGACAGCAGAAATTTTGGTGTTGTATAAGGTTAAAATGGCAAAACTTAAGCACCTGAGAAGTTTCAAACACTCAGTTTTCCTCTCAAGGTACTTGCCAAATTCTGAAGTTATGTTTGGAGAGCAAAGGATTTCCCACAGGCTGGGGATCTATCAAAGATGCTCCTGTTCTCAGTAGAAACTCCCGAGTTTCAGGGACAGGATAAATTAGAGCTGGAGTAGGTCTTACCACGATGCCAGCACAGCCCTGACTCGGGTGAGTCGCAGCTGATTAAATGGCTGCGCCTAGCAGAGGGGACGCATAATACCTTTAGGCCTCATCACATCTGCCATTCAGAGACTGAAAACTCGTCATAAGACCAAAATCTAAGAGAAAAGTCAGACCATGGGAACTGGAGAGCTGCTCACTGGTTAAGACACTTGTTCCTGCAGAGAACCGCGGTTTTATTCCCAGCAGCTACATGGTAGCTCGCAAGTGTCCATCACTTCAGTCCCAGGCCTTGCACTTATGACCTTCATAGGCACCAAGCACACACATGATACGGTGCACATATGCAGGCAAAGGACTCCTACACATCAAATAATTGAAAAGTAGACCCATTTGAAAAATCTGACCATGGAAACAGACTCGCAGGTGGCCTAGCATAGTTAAGAGAGAGAACTTTTCTACAACCATGACTGCTACACTTAT